TCTAAGAGTTTTAAAGTGTCAGGCCTAATATTTAAGTCCTAATTCATTTCGAGTTGATTTTCGCATATGGTGAGAGGTACGGATCAAGTTTCATTCTTCTACAAATGGATGTCCAGTTTCCCCAGCATCATTTATTGAAGAGGCTGTCTTTTCCTCAATGTATGCTCTTGGTGTCCTTGTTGAAGATCAGTTGGCTGTAAGTACGTGGTTTGATTTCTGGGTTCTGTATTCTGTCCCATTGGTCCACATGTCTGTTTTTATGCCAGTACCATGCTGTTTTTGTTACTATAGATTTGTAAAATATTTTGAAGTCAGGAAGTGTAATGCCTCTAGCTTTACTTTTTCTGCTCAGAATTGCTTTGGCTATTTGGGGTCTTTTGCTGTTCCATCTAAATGTTTGGATTGCTTTTTCTATTTCTGTGAAGAATGTTATTGGTATTTTGATGGGAATCACATTGAAACTGTAGATGGCTTTGAGTAGTATGAACATTTTTACTACATTGATTCTTCCAATCCATGAACAAGGAATGTCTTTCCATCTTTTAGTGTCTTCTGTAATTTCTTTCAGTATTGATTTGTCGTTCTCATTGTAGTGATCTTTCACCTTTTTGGTTACATTTATTCTTAGGTATTTTATTTTTCTGGTGACTATTGTAAATGGGCTTGTATTCATGATCTCTTTTTCTTGTAGTATGTTGTTGGAGTATAAAAGTGATCCTGATTTTTGTATATTGATTTTGTATCCCGCAATATTACTGAATTCATTTATCAGCTCTAAGAGCTTTTTGGTAGAATTTCTTGGGTTTTCTATGTATACAATCACATCATCTGTGAATAGTGGCAATGTGATTTCCTCTTTACCTATTTGGATGCTCCTTATTTCTTTCTCTTGTTGAATAGCTCTGGCAAGTACTTCCAATACTATATTAAATAGGAGTGGAGAGAGGAGGCATTCTTGTCATGTTCCTGATGTTAAGAAAGCTTTCCCCCATTCAGGATGATATTGACAGTGGGTTTATCATATATGGCTTTTATTATGTTGAGACACTTTCACTCTGTATCAAATGTGTTGAGAGTCTTTCTCATGAAGGACAGTTGAATTTTGTCACATGTTTTTTCTGCATCTATTGAGATGATTATATAATTTTTGTTCTTGACTTTGTTGATGTAGTGTACCACATTTATTGACTTGCATATGTTGAATCTTCCTTGCATTCCTGGGATGAATCCCAGTTGATCATGGTGTATAATCTTTTTGATATGTTGCTGTATTCTGTTTGCTTGTATTTTGTTGAAGATTTTAGCATCTAAATTCATCAAGGATATTGGCCTGTAGTTTTCCTTTTTTGTTGTATATTTGTCTGGTTTTGGTATCAGGGTGATGTTGGCTTCATAGAATGAGTTTGGGGGAATGGCTTCTATTTTAAGTTTTTGGAATAGTTTGGAAAGAACAGGTATTAATTCCTCATTAAAGGTTTGGTAGAATTCATAGAATTCAGTAGTCAAGCCATCTGGTCCTGGGCTTTTCTTCGCTGGAAGATTTCTGATTACTGCTTCAATCTTGTTGCTCATTATTGGTGTGTTCCCCTTTTCTCTGTCTTCTTGGGTCATTCTTGTTAGTTTGGATGTGTCTGGAAATTTATCCATTTCCTCCATGTCTTCAAATTTGTTGGCATATAGTTGTTCATAGTAATCTCTAATGAGTCTTTGTATTTCTGCAGTATCAGTTTTGATATCCCCTTTTTTTGCTTCTGATTTTTATTATTTGGGTCCTCTCTCTTCTTTTTGTAGTTAGTCTGGCTAGTGGTTTTTCTATTTTGTTTATCTTCCGAAAAACCACATATGTATATGTGTGTGTGTGTGTATAATTTCACCCAACAACTAGAGAATATACATTCTTCCCATCAGCACATGGAATGTTCTCCAAGACAGATAACATATTAGGTCAGAAATCAAGTATCAACAAATTTTTATAAATTGAAATAAATTCATGGATCTTCTCAGACCACAATGGATTGAAACTAGAAATCAATAACAAATGAAACTTTGGAAATCACAAAATACTTCAAATTAAACAACATGTTTCTAAATGACATATGGGTTTAAGAAGAAATCAAACAGGAAATCAAAAAATTTCTTGAAAGTAAGGATAATAACAACACATCATTCCAAAACCTATGGGATACTGCAAAAGCCGTACTAAGAGGAAAATTTGTTGCCATAAATGCTTACATCCAGAGAATAGAAAGATTTCAAATAAACAACCTAACATTACACCTCAAGGACTAAAAAAATAAGAACAGTCTAATCCCAAAGTTAGTAGTAAGAAAGAAATAATTAAAATCAGAGCAGAACTAAATGAAATAAAGACCAAAAATACAATACAAAAGATCAATGAAACAAAAAGCTAGTATAACTTTTGTCTCTAATTTTCAATATAATATGTCATGTGGGAAGAAAAGATGAGAATAATTAAGAAATATAGAGTATGATTCTANTTATTCATGTATTTTGTTTCTCAACATTTACCCAATCATAGTAATAAAAATGCTTTGAATTGTTATAAACGTGATTTATCAAAAATATTAACTGGGAAAAGAATGATGACTTAATTGTTATGTATTCACTTCATATAAAGCATGATAATAAACAAGTTTCAACTACAGACATAAAGATTTTCTCTGGATTTATGAAAATATAAAGGAACTTTATTTGGAGACACAGT